TGAACTGATATATTGCCATAGCTACAAGAAAGAACAAACATTATTATATTAGTATTATTGCTTTTTATCATGGTTATTCAGTTGGTTTTTTCAACGTACTCAAAAAGAAAAAGAAGATGTATAAAGTCATGCAGGCTAGGTTGTCTTTTATTGGGTATCACAATCTACTTTAAAATTTATTTGTTTTACATAAGAAGCTGTTTTTTTCATAGGAATAGTAGACAAGAAAAAAAAATACATAAAAAGTTCAATTTTGAAGAATAGGTGTATCTTTTAGAAGACGGAAACAAAGAAATATAGCTTCATCAGTCTTCTTGCATTTATTTTGTTCATCGAAATAATACAAAGTTTTTGCTGACAACTTGAATTCGAGACGAGAACCAATTCTTAGATAATGATCTTTAATAAATTTTGTCTGCAGTTGTAAAATTTGTACTAAATTTGGAGACGAGACCCATCGTTTATTAATTCCTAAATTATGTAAAGCTTGTACGACCGCATTATTTGTTAGTGCTATTTTCGCTGTTCTTTTCTGTCCTTTTGCTCTATCGTTGATGGCTCTCACAATCAGTTGTTGATGATATTGGATTACCGAGCTATTTCAATGAAGAGAAAATGGGAAGCATAAATAGGAATCGTGTCAGATTTAAATAAAATTTTGTTTTATTTTGTTGAGCTATTCATGAATATCTAATGTTATTCAACTAAGACTGATAATTTACATGTTCATGAAAATAAAATGAGAATTGGTCTAATTTATTGTAAAAATTCTAAAATCATCAGACACAACATGATTCTCATGTTCGAATGAAATAATTGTTTTTATAGAAACGTATAAATTCCTTCATTCTCATTTAACCTATTATTAAAGCTAAACACTTTTTTCTTACTTCTCCAATACAGTTCTTGTCCATAACAACGATGATAATCGCTAATATTTCCATCATCATAACCAAAGCGACTAATTGCACCTCGATTGTTATTGTATTGATTTGTTCGTTCATAATGTGCAGGATATCGTTGTTTGTTTAATACCTTAAATGAATTTTTTTTCTTGTTCTTATTATTAATTTTAGTCGTCCAATTTCCACTATTGTTGTTAGAAGATTGGATTGTACCACTATTTGTTGATGCTAATTCTGTATTTATGTTATTTACTTGAACCGACTGATCAGCCATAAGTAAATGACTTATTGAATGTCCTTGCAACACGAAAATGAATACGATAGAAAATGTCTAAGTGGTTCGCTAACTATCTGACTCGTTGCTACACGACGACATGTGAGAATACAATCTTGTTCATAACACAGCGCAAGAGAGAAAACATTGCTGATCAAGACTAGACACACAAGAAAACGACAACATATCCTTTATAACGTATAAATACACGTGATTCGTTATCGCCTAACAATAGACGAACGTTATAGCTATCGATAATATTTCAACGAGACTAGTTTTGAAAAAAAGAAGTAATAGATGCATACATCTGATTTGTTGATTATCTTTAATGTTCAACAATTTGTTTCAGATTATTCAATTTCAATTCTTATAATACATTTCAATAATTATTTCTATCCGTCAACAACTCTTCAATTCAAACTTATCAATATTATTCATTTCTCGGCATATCTAAGGTAAAGCAGCAATCCATTTGTTCATAAGAGATGGAAATAACAATCAGATATAATTTTAGGTACTTTGCACGGTTAAAATAATTTAATTCAGTTTAGAGTCTCACTTAAGAAATGTTTGAAACATTTCTTTCACATATACTTGTTTCTCACAATAAAACAGTTGAATCAGCTCCTCAAGTTGAAATAATAATTTTTTACAACATTTGAGAGTCGCAAGAAAGTTCAAACAGCTTTCACTTTCAATGGAACCCAGTAAAAAAAGCCTATTCTTCACATGCTTCGTACAATAATAAGAAAACTATTTTTTTGATAGAATTTTACAAGTTAGGCAGTCTCACAATCGTTGTAAAAATCACTTCACTTGATGTTTCACAGCGAGAAAAATCACTGATGAAAACTAATGAATAAAACTTTATACGATGCTAGAAAAAAAAATTGCGTCAGTTAATTCCTAAGTGCATTGGCCCAACTATTGATTCATTATTCCGAAGGATAGTGTCAGTGAAAAATTTTTTTGAAAAAATCAACTTTTGATTGCTCTCAGGGACAATCAAGGGTTTGACTAAAGAAAAACGAAGAGAAACACTTCCTATGAGTTTCGAATATTAAACAGTTAAGGTAAAAGTTAATGAACAAATTTCGACTTCTTTGAAACGAATTAATCAAAAAAGCAGGAGGACAGGTTTAACATTTTGTAAATTTTATTTTTAACGAAGTTATTAGACAATGCAAAATTAAGTAAATACAAGTAATAGAATTTAAGATCTTTTGGATGAACAACGGATTTATTTAGAAACAAAACTCATTCATTATTATTTTTATTTTTTTCGCCTTTAGCTTTTGGTGTTATAACAACACGATTTGGCTTGGTTATATAGGTTGGTTCTGTTTTTTCGCTCAAGGTAATTGATTCTCTTTTGTTTATATTGTTTTCTCGTAGCTTAGCATTCAATTTTATCGCATTAGTTGTTTGTTTTTTATATTTTATTGCATTAGTTGTTTGTTTTTTTTATATTTTATTTGCATTAGATATTTTTTTAATACTAATGAGCGGAAAATCTATAAAGGTTGAGATCGATATTCCAGGCTGGGATTTATTTGATTCTGCTTGGTTATTGAATAAAATGAAAGAAAACGTTCTGCTTGAGTTAAATAGTCGAGGCCTCGTTACTGTTGATTCTGTCGTGAATAACTCATGTAAAAATGCTATTTCACGAACACAGTTGAAGAAAAAAACGAATATTTTAGTTGTCTATCTACCACATTCACTTGTTCAACCGGTTTCTTTGATTTCCAATACGACTTCTGATTCAAGTTTAACTTGTACTTTTGACATTGAAAAGCAAACTGATGAACTGAATTCGTCATCAGAAGGTAGTACAAGTACACCGTTGACATGTTCTAAATTAAAATTTGAGTATGTTGATGGAAAAGGTCTATTAATATATGCCACCTTCGACTACCTACAACGAATATTCTCTCTCTCTCTTTCTGGTTCTTGTATATCAACCGAGTTATCACATTTGTTAGAGGACATTCTTTGCTATTGTTTTCATAGATCTCAAAAACTATACGTTGATGTTTCAGCATTAAAACAATTGCTTCGTCGTCAACTCAATTCAATAATTCTTCATGCCAAAAAGAAGGCAACTGCTAAACATCAACGAGTAATAAAAGTACTTTCAGGCAATGAAGCATTCTGTTTTAACTGCTCCATTTCTGTTGTAGAGCCAATGAAAGAAACAGATGAGTTTAAATCATTTTCGTTTGAATCGTATTTTAGCATTCGGTCATCCGATCGGATATTGCTAGTTCGAGATTCTGATGTAATTTGTATTCAACCAAAAGAGAGTTCTTTTCATTTAACAATAAGTAAATCATTGACTCTCAAAGCTTTGAAAGAATTCGATCTTTCAGGGTTGGTAGATGTCGAAGAAATTATTGTGATTGTCGAAGCATATTTTCAGAACAGGAACTTGATACCAGATATAGAACAGTTCCATGACAGCATAAAAGACGCTATTTTGGAAAATAGAAATAATGCATCCGTCTCAAAATTTCTTACTTGTAGTATTCTGATCAAAAGACAAGAGCAATCTCTTGATGAGGAAATCAATGTTGATTTAGATACTATTTTAGGACGTACATATAAGACTAGGGGAATCAAGAGAAAAAGCCATTGTGTACCTGATGATAGTGATAGCAGCGAAGAAGTTGATAGTTCGAATTCGGAACTAAATGACGATTCATCTATGTATTCAGATGTTCTTTCTTCTTCGTTGACAACTAATAAACGTAAGCAAGTCGATTATCATAAAGATAATCTCATAAGGGATTTTCTTCATATTAAAGATGAATACCATATCACAGATTCAGCTATAAGAGCCATGCACAAGTTTTTTCAAGATAACAAAAAAGTACTCTATTCAATGGCGGAAATCAATAGAGTGAGAGAACAGGCAAACAAACGTATTCCTTTAAAATTTACGAAAGACTCTTGTTACGTGCCGTTTGATTTTGCTCTTCGAGTAGCTATCTTTGTTGCTACAAAGTTTCGACCTGAAGTTCGACAATTGAATAAGCTTGTATTTCGTTTGAATATGGACGGGACATTAATGGGCAATAAACACGTAGTAGCCATGTCGGTGAATTGTGTAGAAGGTGGCCCGTCGTGCCATAGTGCAAAAAACCTTGTGCCTGTCGGAATTTTCGAAATTCAAAAAGAGTCGAATGAGTTATTAAGAAAAACTCTTCCTGCCGAATTTCTTACTTCGATCCAATCTATTAAACAATTAAAAATTAGCAAAAAAAAATATGTTGAGGTGAAAATACGCCTTGGGGGAGATTATCAGAATGCCATATATGTTTTTGGGTTGGCTGGTGTCCACAGCAATTACCCGTGTGTTTTTTGCACACAAAATAAGGCATATCTGTACGTGACCGATCATAATACCAAATGCGAGGAAGAGATTTTCATAGGGACAGGAAAAAACAAGAAAAAAACAAAACGAACCACTTTTGTTAATCCAACTTCTTGTTATGATCCCACTCGTGGTGCTCGAACGCTTGAAGAAAAACGAGTTAGTTTAGCTAAAATAGAAAAAACAAAAGCAAATAATGAGCTGGGATATCAGTGTGAACCATTATTCGGAGATCTCTTCGAATTTAATGATTATATCATTGATTCTTTACATATGCGTTTGCGTATTTTTGATATTTTGTTGAAGGATATTTTGTCAGAAGCTTCAAGAACTGGTGAATACGAGCCTAATCACAGTAAGAAACTTCAAGAAAAAGTTGAACTACTCAACAAACATGCAGATAAACAAATTGGAAAGCGCTTTTTCTTTAAAATCGAATCCGAGAATAATATAAAAACTATTGTTACTTGTGGCAGATTTTCTGGTCATTTACAGCAACAGCTTTTTGTGGGTCGCGTTCACTTGACCGACATTCACTTGGCCGACACATCACTTGACCGACACCACTTAACCGACAGATTGTTTGGCCGACAGGTACACTTGGCCGACAATTTATTTTGCCGACAAAAA